GCGGGGCTGGCCAGCCACTGCCCCTGGTGAGCCCGCCTTTCTCAGTACCTGTGCAGAATGGTGCCCAGCCACCCAGCAAGGTAAGGGCATCCTGGCTCCACCTGTTCTTCATTCCTCCCCTCCTGGGTGTAGGTTTCTGTGCCACGGTTTCTGTGTGTGCCTTTGTTTCAGTCACTTTTCCTTTTCTCCCTTTTTGTCTGTGTCTGGAACTTTGTCTTTAGGATTTTTTCTTCAATATATATGTATATCTTGATTTTGCCCTTGGCGTCTGCATCTTCTTCCTTCTTTGTGTCTTGTACTGCTTGATGTCTTCTTTTCCTTTGTTCTTTTCTGTCTGGATTCCAAATTTTGCGATCCCTGTTTTTGCTGAGATCCACCTTCCTAGGTCTTGGTCCTCCCCTGCCCCATTCTGGGTCCCCACCTCACCTCAGCCTGTGGGTGCCCTTGCCCACAGATCATCCAGCTGACTCCAGTGCCCGTGAGCACACCCAGCGGCCTGGTGCCGCCCCTCAGCCCAGCCACGCTCTCCGGACCCACCTCGCAGCCTCAGAAGGTCCTGCTGCCCTCCTCTACCAGGTAATGGCAGCTGAGCCCTCACCTGGAGGCCAGCCCAGAGATGGGGCCAGCTTACCTCACTCCCCCCTTCCTCTCCTTGCGGCAGAATCACCTACGTGCAGTCGGCGGGTGGGCACGCGTTGCCCCTGGGCACCAGCCCTACGTCCAGCCAGGCTGGAACAGTCACCTCGTATGGGCCCACGAGCTCGGTAGCCCTAGGCTTCACCTCACTGGGGCCCAGCGGACCCGCCTTCGTGCAGCCCCTGCTTTCAGGTGAGGGGCAGCCTGGCAGGAAGAGCTGGGGACCCAGGGTGGTGCCGAGGTGGCCCAGGCCCTAACTGGGGCCCCCGCCTCTCCTCTTTGTCTCTGCAGGCCAAGCCCCGCTGCTGGCTCCCGGCCAGGTGGGCGTGTCACCTGTGCCCAGCCCCCAGCTGCCGCCCACCTGCACAGCCCCCGGAGGTCCTGTCATCACGGCGTTTTACCCTGGCAGCCCTGCACCCACCTCCTCAGCACCCCTGGCCCAGCCATCCCAGGCGCCCCCGGGCCTGGTCTACACTGTGGCTACTAGCACCACCCCACCTGCTGCCACCATCCTGCCCAAGGGCCCACCGGCCCCTGCCACTGCCACCCCGGCCCCTACCAGTCCTTTTCCTAATGCCACAGGTGGGTGTCAGGCCAACCCAGGGTGGGGTGATTTGGAGGACCCAGAAGGTGGGCTCCAGACAGGCCTGGCTCAGCAAATGCTCTTCTTTCCACCAGCAGGCTCCATGACCTACAGCTTAGTGGCCCCTAAGGCCCAGCGGCCTACCCCCAAGGCCCCCCAGAAAGTGAAGGCGGCCATCGCCAGCATTCCTGTGGGTTCCTTTGAGGCAGGTGCCCCTGGGCGGTCAGGCCCTGCATCCCGGCAGCCTTTGGAGCCTGGCCCAGCCCGTGAGCCCCCTGTCCCTGAGTCTGAGCTTGAGGGTCAGCCCACAACGCCAGCCCCTCCACCACCCCCAGAGACCTGGGCTCCCACAGCCCGGAGCAGCCCCCCACCACCCCTGCCTGCTGAGGAGCGGACAGGCACCAAGGGCCCGGAGACCATGGTAAGTGTGAAGCAGGCCAGGCAGATCGTGCTGCCACACAGCTCGGCGTCTCAGTCCATTGTTTGCTTTTCTGCTCCATCCTTCTTACCTGCACACCTGCCTGAACTCTGTCCTTGTTTGCAGGGGTTGGGGGTGTTGGGGGAGGGGAGCTCTTCTGTCCCTTTTGCTTGTCTGTATGGCTGGGTCTTCTCCAGAGCTGTACATCTTGGGTGGTTGGCATCCAGCTCTCTGTTGGAGGTTTTGCCCCAGCGAGTCTGAATCCAGTGTCCTCCGTCTCCCTGCCGTCCCTACCCCAGGCCAGCAAATTCCCCAGCTCATCTTCAGACTGGCGAGTCCCTGGGCTAGGCCTGGAGAGCCGTGGGGAGCCTCCCACCCCTCCCAGCCCAGCCCCAGCTCCGGCCCCAGCCCCCAGTAGCAGCAGCAGCAGCAGCGAGGGCAGCAGTGGGAGGGCAGCTGGGGACACCCCCGAGCGCAAGGAGGCAGCTGGTACCGGCAAGAAGGTGAAGGTGCGGCCCCCGCCCCTGAAGAAGACCTTTGACTCTGTGGACAAGTGAGCATGGGCTGGGCTCCGTGGCAGAGCGTGTAGGGCGGGAGGGAGAGGGAGGCAGCTGCCGTCTCAGGCAGGGGAGGTGACCCCGCCGGCTCTCCAGCAGGGTCCTGTCAGAGGTGGACTTCGAAGAGCGCTTTGCTGAGCTGCCTGAGTTCCGGCCTGAGGAGGTGCTGCCTTCGCCTACCCTGCAGTCTCTGGCCACCTCCCCCCGGGCCATCCTGGGCTCCTACCGCAAGAAGAGGAAGAACTCCACCGGTAGGCGAGTGTGGGGCACCTGGGTTAAGTGGGGGGCAGACCAGGGCTGCCTCCGCTGAACCTGCTTCTGTTGGACAGACCTGGACTCGGCCCCCGAGGACCCCACCTCGCCCAAGCGCAAGATGAGGAGACGCTCCAGTTGCAGCTCAGAGCCCAACACCCCTAAGAGTGCCAAGTGCGAGGGGGACATCTTCACCTTTGACCGTACAGGTGCCGGCACCGAGGCAGGCGGAGTTGTGGGGGACCTAGGACCTTTAAGAAGGGCGGGGTCTTGGCAGCGGAGTTACAGATGCACGGTGGTGATGGGGAAGGACAGCCGGTCACGGATGGGAGGGTGGGTTTTAGGTCTGGTGGAGTCCAGAGGCAGGTGCCTTCTCTGAACTCTGCTGTGTTACAGAATTCAGTGAGGGCTGAATAGACATCCAGACGGTGGCGGGGGCAGGGAGCAGGCTGCTGCCGTAGCCTTGACTGTCCTCCCTGTGCTGCTCCCAGGTACGGAAGCCGAGGATGTGCTCGGGGAGCTGGAATACGAGAAGGTGCCATACTCCTCACTGCGGCGCACCCTGGACCAGCGCCGGGCCCTGGTCATGCAGCTCTTCCAGGACCATGGCTTCTTCCCATCGGGTGAGTGTATCTTGGAGTCTTGGGGGGCCCCTAAAGAGGACCTGCCTGCTCATCTCACCCTGCCCTCCCCGCCCCCCATCGTCCTTCTGTCCCCAGCCCAGGCCACGGCAGCCTTCCAGGCACGCTACGCAGACATCTTCCCCTCCAAGGTCTGTCTGCAGTTGAAGATCCGAGAGGTGCGCCAGAAGATCATGCAGGCGGCCACTCCCACGGAGCAGCCCCCTGGAGCTGAGGCCCCCCTCCCCGGACCCCCCACTGGCACTGCTGCTGCCCCTGTCCCCACTCCCAGCCCGCTGGGGGCCCCGACCCCACCTCACCTGGCTCGGACTCTGGCACAGCTTCGGCTGCCCCGCCACTGCCTCCACCCCCAGAGCCAGGTCCTGGACAGCCTGGCTGGGAGGGCCCCAGCCCTCCCCCCCCCCCTGGCCCCTCCACAGCTGCCACAGGCAGGTGAGGGGCCCAACAAGATCCCAGGACCCACAGTACCCCCCTCAGGACATGGACAGTATGTAGGTGGCAGGAATGGGGGGGCAGGATGGTTACCTCCTCCCCAATAAAGCCATTTCGTCCTTTCTAGTTTGGGGCGGAATGAGGCCTGCTCCTCTTGTCTATCCCCCGTCCCCCCACAGCTTTCTCCCTGTGACGGGGGGCAGCTGAGGGGAAGCAGGGGCACAGTCTGCCTCCACGGAGCCCCTGTATATAACCTGGAGTGTGTTACCTTCAGACCTTTTCACTTGTACTTTATGCAAAATGGCTCATGTGAGGGCTACAAGCTGGAGGGTAGCACGGGCCTTGGGCCACAGGGAGAGGTGCCTGTGGAGTAGGGGGAGTTCATGCACCCCTTTTTTCCCCAGAGGGGCTGGACTCAGGTTAGTTTGGGGTGGGGGCTCCTGCACTTTGCCACAGGCATGGGGAGGGTTCTCTCCCCACCCCCTCTGCCCTCCCAACTTGGGTTGTACTTTCTAAGAAGGTGATTCCCCCTACCCTTGTCCCTATCCCCAGAACAAAACATGTTGATCATGTGCAATATTTCTTACTGTGCCGAGAAGCCGAAATTAAAGCTGTTTAACACACTTGTGTGGCTGCCCACTCTAAAGGGAGAAGGGGTGGGTGGGGTGGGTTGTACTATCCCCAAACGGTCAAGGAGCTTATACACTTCCTCCCAATGCAGTCCCTCCCCACATCAGAGGGACCCTGTGGGCCGAGAACCCTGACTCACTGTGGACTGAACAGCCTGTCTTCAGCCCTGGCACTTGGAAGTCCCTGTCCCTACTATGCCTCTCACAGTCGTCCCAACATCTGGGGGCTCAGGAAGGCCTGAGAGGTCTGAGCCTAGGTGGTACTGGGCTGGGTTTGCCCAGTAACCCAGATACAGTGCTGTTCTCGGTGACCCCTGCTGCCCCCACATGGCCTGAGCCAGCACTGCACCCAGGCCAAAAGGAGCCTCCTGGGTTACATCCCTCACAGTGCGTGGACAGTGCTCCTCTGGGGAGACAGATTCCCTGTGGAGGCACGACTGCTTGTGATGGGGAGGGTCAGGAAGCTTCCGTAGGAAATGGCATCTAAGGTACAACCAGAGCACCAGAAGCTCCAGCCAGGGGAAAATCTTCGGCAAAACTGGGAAGGCAGCTTTGGAAGGGCTTTGGCTGCTAGGTCAGTATGTTCCCAGAATTCTTATTTGACTTTGATCTTGCAGGGTAGTGTGTGCAAACTGGTTTCACCTAGTGTGTTACTGACTGATGGTGCCTGCCTGGGGTGTTACTGAGAGTAAAAATCTGCTAGACCCTGCAAGAACCTGAGTACCTTGATGGATTGGTGATGCCTGCTTCAGGCAGAAACAGAGCATCCTCCGGAGCTGCAGGGTCGCAGAGATCATAGTTAAGGTTGAGATACCCAGAAGGGCTTGGCCATAAAGCAAGAAACGGGAGACTAAGGAATGAGAATTTAATGGGGAAGAAGGATGCTTAGGGTGTAGCCTCTGGCCGGGGGACACCCTGGCCCTGGTCTTGGGCCAGCAGACGCAGAAGCAGGGAGTGCAGGGCCCGACAGACAGGTGTGTAGCCCAGGCGGCTCAGATGCAGGTAATCGTACATGTCATGGTGACTTATGGTACCGTCTGAGTGCACAAAGCCAGGGTCGGCATCCAGGAAGTGGGCCCGTGGGTGGCCAGCCAGTGCTGCCCGGACCAGCTCGTTCACTCGCCGGTTTTTCTCACGAAGTGGGTTAGGGTGCTGGCCCCTCGGAAGCAGGCCCTGAGAAAGGCCACCAAGAGTTGTGAGGAGACATCCTACCAACATCTGGGTATCCTGTTCTCTGGGACAAACTGTTCACCCTCACCAGGAAGTTGCCAGGTGTAGAATATACTAGGGATGGAGTAGTGGGGGATCAGAAGGGTAATTCCTGATACCATGTCCGAGACTCCCTTCAGCAAGTACCTTCTGGGTGCCAGCCCCTTTCCAAGTATCCATCACAAAAATGACACCATGGCAAAGGGTCAACCCCTCTTTCAGAGGAGGAAATATTCCAGCTGGAAGTGATGGAGCCTGGATTCACCCCAGGAACGCCTATTTTTGGCTAATTGTTTTGAGTTTTGCAACACCCCCCAGAATCTTCAGCAATTTCTTGGGCAACAGCAGCTACCTGGTCCCTGAACACCTTAACAACAGCTGCTGGGTATGTAGCAAGCTTCAACTGGAGATTATGCCCGAAAACCACTGCTTTGTGCCATGCTGCCCAGAACTGTGCCGGCTGCAGCTACACCTGCCATTCTTTCTTCCCTGCCCTCCCACCCTCTCACCAGCACCACGACCCGGGCCTGGGGCTGCCGTTGGTTCACCAGTTGCACAATGGCCTTGATGCCACCAGTCACTTGCTCTGCTGTGTGCCCGTGGTTGTTGGTACCCACCCAGACCACCACAATCTGTGGAAAGAAAGGCATGAAGCAGCGGTCAGGAGGGAGGCTTGGGGCGCGTTAGCTGCCCACCGAAGCTCTGCTCACCTTGGGCCGGATGTGTTCCAGCTCCCCATTCTCCAGTCGCCAAAGCACATGTTGCGTGCTGTCACTGCCAATGCCAAAGTTAAGTGCGTGCAGAGGAGAAAAGAGCTCCCGCCAGATCTGCAGACAAGAAGTGGTGTGGGTACATTGGCAACAAGGGCATTGGCAACAAGGACCACCACCCTCTGTCCAAGCCACATATAATGGAAGAACCCTGCCTTATGGAGGCAGTCTGGTCGAATCTCGCTTTATGCCAACCTATTACAGTCTCACTTTCATGGAGATCCACAGAAGCGAGACTCACTTTATGGAAACCTATTCTGCTTGAGTCATGCATGCATTGAACCAACAGCATTGACAGTTGATGAAAGCCATCATGGTTTGACCTCACTTAGTGGAAACGTAACATAATTGAGTCCCCTTTGTGGAGAGCTATTACAGTTGACTTTCACTTGGTGGAAAGACTACAGCTTTGTGGACATCCATTAGGGCTGTGCACTACCTTAAGCAAACAATAGAATCTCACTTCAGGCAATCTTCTTGCAAGAAAGCCTCATTTTAAGATTTTAAGTCTCACTACACAAAAACCCATGTGACAAAGACTGGTCACACAGTTCCTTCTCAGTAGAATGTTGCATCTTACACGGAGGTTTGGGTGTGGGTGCTGCCTGAGGCTATTTCGGGTACCTCATCCCTGTCTGGCTTGGGCTCTGATCCAGATGTGTCAGCGAGGGCACAGGCCTGGGTGGGGCAAGGGGATGGGGGACGGGCCTCACCTCGCACTGGTGCATTAGCTGGACCAAGGAGTCCCCGATGAAGACGACTTCGGGTTCCTTATCTTTGCTGTCGGCCACGAACCGATGGTGCTTCGGGGACGTACAAGGGGAGTCAAAGGCACGCGCGCTGCTTGGCCCGCCCCACTCTGCTTCCCCGCTTCGTTTCCACCACCCCAACTGCTCTCAGTTTCCTAATCCCACAGAGAGAGTGGCGCCAACCAACTGCTCTCCTGAGGCCCCTCCCGGACTCCTGAGTATCGCGGGCCGGGTCGCTCACCAGGGACATCCAGCGTCCGTCACCCTGCACGTCCTGCACCGGCGTGGGCTTGCTGGCTGGGTTCTCCTCTCCGCTCATCTTGGCGCCGCAGCTCCTTCCTGCAGGACTGGCGAGCGAGGTCGACCCGGGAGAGTCGGCCGAGGAGGTGGCTCCGCCACGCCCACCCCTCCCTTCCAGGCAACAATGGACGGTCCCGACGCCCGCACTCTAGCGAGGACTACTGCCGATCCCGGGCACCGCCTCCTCCGCAGGAGCGGAAACCTTCACTTAAAAGGGGTGGTGGAATTGGGAACCCATGCTTCCCCCGCGGCGGACGCGCAGTGGGCTCGTCCGGCGCTTCCCGCCCGGGCCGCTCAGGCTCGGGCGGCGGCGGCCAGCGCACCCGGGCACCTGGGAACGGGGAGGCGAGATCATCCAGCACCCATAGGGGAGGGAGGAACCCCACACGCCACACCGGCGTCAGGGGGAGGGGCGAACTACCTGAAAGGCCGAGAGTGGGCGGGGGAAATCTAGAGCTTTTCCTTGGGGGAAGAATCCGTTTGCTGTAGAGCGAGAAATGTGCGGAAGGGATCGCCAGCTGTGTGTGTGAGAGTGTGTGTGTGTGTGTGTGTGTGTGTGTGCGCGCGCGCGCGCGTGTGTCATTCACGTGGTGGTGGGGGAGGGAAATGAGTGGACGAGTCCATTCCTGAATCCCTTGAGGGGGGGGCTCGTACGCACCTGGCTAGGTGGGGACGCTCCCATTTTCTATTGATGTGGGTAGAAAAAAAGATAGCAAAATGTGAAAAATAGAGCCTCCGTTGTAAGGAGACATCCTAAGAGAGAGCCAGGACTTAAGTGATCCTATCTGCTCTCAGGCCTCCCCTGCTCAAAAATACCAGTTTTTGTGGCATAAAATCTAAACTACACATCTTTGCATTATAAACATCACAGGCCCTGCAAAGAGGGCAGAAGAAGGTACAGAAAGAAAAAGGAAATTAGAGATGCTGCAAGGCCCAGGTCCAGCCTGGCACCCCTCCCACCCAGCTCATCTTGCAGATCTGTGGCCTGTTCCTCTCTCTAAACCCACAGGTGTGTCTAAGCTCTGAAGCCTACATCCATAGCCAAGGCCAACTAAGGTCGGCCCCTCCCGGCCCATATTAATCTCAAATGTCAAGTCTTCCCAACTCTTCCTCTTCTCAGGGACCAGGTGGGGGTCCCACATTCCCGTAGCTCCACTTCCAAATGGGACCTTCCCATCTATTCATTCTGTCTAGGTAGGTTGATACTGAAATATAGTCTTATTTATCATGTTTTGCTTCAGTCCACTTGCCTGGAACAGGGCCTGACTCATAGTACCAAGTACTATGGCTGTTCACAGGAACTTAAATGATTATTAAACGAATGGGTCAAATCCTGGCCTTGTCCCAGTGTGTTGGGGAAGACAGATCCAGACACAGAGATGAGGAAAGGATCAAGGTTGTGATTAAGAGAGGTGGAGAAGGGGAAGGAGAAAGAGAAGGACTCAGAGTAGGGGGTTGCTAGGAGTAGTATTTGAGTTTGGCTTTGAAAACTCAGGAAGTCTGGGTAAGCTGTATTACACAGGTAATATAGCTGATTAGGGCGTGGGGAAACTCTGGCCATAGCTTTATTTTATTTTTTAAATGTGTATTTTTGAGTGAGAGAGAGCAGGCAAGGAAGGCGCAGAGAGAGAAGGAGACAAAGGATCTGAAGCTGGCTTGTGTGTGGGCTTGAACTCACCAACCGTGAGATCGTGACCTGAATGGAAGACAGAGGCTTAACCGACTGAGCCACGCAGGTGCCCCTATAGCTTGATTTTAAAGTCTGAGGGGACTAGTGTCGGTAGATAAGTTGAAAAGGTAGAGAAGCCGTTGCTGAAGCAAAGCTTAGTGAGAAACAGCTTCGAGGCATTCATTCCATTCAAACCAAGTGCTGTTTCAAGTTAGATGTATTGGCTCATTTTATACTTACAGCAACCACACGAAGGAGGCACTATCAGCTCCATTTTACAAATTAGGAAATCGAGGGTCTGAGCAGTTACACACTTTTCAAGGTCATACACCTCAAACGTGCCAATTTCGGTTGTTTAAACCTAGGTAGCCTAACTCCAGATCCTAGCTCTGAATGACGACTCTATACTGATTCTCTAGGGATGAATTCTGTGACTGTCTGGGGACCCGCTGCAAGTGGAGACTGCCATGGCCCTTTTTTCCCCTTGTGCCTCGCCTCACGGCTTTCCCCGAGAGACAGTCTAAGCCAATCAGCATTCATGAAGGGGGCGGGCCCAGCGAGTCTCACAGCAGATTGGTGTATGGGAGATGCCTAAGGACAAATGAGAGAGATTTCTGGAAGTAAGGCTGGAAAGGGTGGGACCATAACCGGCACTCTGTTCCTCGTGCCTCACGAGAGCAGGAAGTCAAAGGGCGTGGGCGGTGCACGCGCATGCGTGTAGTGTGCGTGAGGCCCCGAGGAGTCCACAGGGCGTCATGAACTAGGGTCACCGTGGAAAAGAAGCCATTGCACCCCACAGCCACGTGGGGTGGGTGGGGGACGGGCTTCATTGGGCCAGGAGGTGAGGTACTCCACCCTTACCTAGCCGCCACCAACCGTACCCCCCTTTCCTAACCTTAACTGCCCGCCTTTGCCTCATCTACCCTAGTCCACCGCATTCCCATGACTAGGCCCAGTTCCTGGTAGCTCCTCCGTTGCCTTTTCTGTTTTCCCGAGGTCTTCTCTGTCTCTCCTACTTCTTTGTTGCTGTCTCTTCTGCCTTTCTCTCTATACCATCTCACTCCACTTTCTGCATTCTCCAGTACCTTCTCTACTTCTGGATTTCTCCTCTGTCCATAATTCCTTCTAGTTCACCAGACCCTGTGGTCTCATGATCCTGTCCACATCCCCCATCTTCTAGCTACTTTCTCATGTCCCAGTACCCTGTAACCCCTTGTCTATTCTCTACTCTGACACACCTCCCCATTCACCGTGACTCCCTTGACCCCATCCAACCCCCACGACTCCTTCCTTGACCAAGTCTTTGCCGATCACTCCGTACCCACCCACTATCTTATTCTCATCTTGTCTCTGTAAATAGGCCTTCCACCTCACCCCAAACTATCTTCTCTTCTCACTATTCACTTTTAGGTCCCTGATTTATCGGCATGATGATGACTGTCCTATCTTTTTCTTCCAGGACATTATGGACCCCCGGGGGCCAGGCCCCCAGCCTTTCCAGCGGCCTGAGAAATCTGGTCGTGTCCGTCGTCGGAAGACAAGGCGGGAGCGTAACGAGGCCCTGATGGGCAGCCGCCGGCCATTGACCCATCAGGATCCTCCTGTGACCAGTCAGGATCCACCTGTGGCCCCTACTGTTCCCAAGGTCGTGGTCATAACGCAGGGCCGGCTGAGCCGGGAGCACCGGGGTCTCTTTAATCATGAGGTGAAATCTCTGGATGTGGCACGGCTGCTTAGCAGTGGGTCCCTGGAGCCCGGCACCCCTTCACTCCCCACCAAACGCTTCTCAAGCCCAAGCTGGGCCCAAGAACCAGCTCCCCAGTCAAGGGGCAAGGAGAACCAGGTGCCTAGAGGCTCAGGCCCAGGCCCACCCAGTCCCCCAGAGCTCCCTGGCTTGGGGCAGCTGCTGGAGGAGCTGCAGTGCCAGTTGATTCTGCCACAGGCCTTCCCCAGGAGGAACCTAGTGCAGGAGGCCAGGGATGCCATCGTGGGCACTTTACAGGCCTGCCATGGCTGCGTGCCTGACCTTACCCTGGTGCTCCGTGACTGCCAGCCACCCTTACCAGGTGAGTCCACTTCCTACTTCCTGTGATCCCTTCCTCCTTGTCTGCTGTAGCTCAGCTGTCTCCCATGCTTTTTTCCTTTGTGCCAGGGACCAAGCCTGGGGGCCCTGAAAGACGAAGGATGACACCCTCCTGGATCAACAGCCCAGAGCAGGCCCCAGGGGAGAGGAGGCAGAGGAGGCAACAGAGGACAAAGGAGCTCACTTTCTCCATGCCTCACACCTCCAGCACTCCCCTGGTGCACAGGGTGAGCCTGGTGCCACCAAAAGGTCCCTGGCCACCGCCTTTGCCCTTGTTGCCTTCGCCATCTGGGGCAGCCTGGGGCCCCCCAACAGCCTTTGACCTACTGAAAAGCATCTGGCTGGTTGCCACACCTCCCCCTCCCCGGCCCTGGGGGGTCGGCCCACAGCAACCCCTGCCTCAGCCACCATCACCCTTGTTGCCCCGAACCTCTGCCCTGGATTGGAGCCCCAGCCCTCCTGCCCCACTGCCCAGCCTCTCCTGGGTGGTGGCCCAGAGCAGCCCAGAGGCCTGGTCCTTTCCACCTATGAGACTGTACTGAGGGGACTGAGGCTGGGCTAGGGGCAGGAAACCCGCACTCCTGATCACTTCAATAAAGACCTTCTTCATGGTCCCCTTGATTTTCAGTGAGTGGCCGACCCAAGCAAGCAGCTTTGCTTTGCTCTGAGTTCTGGGTCCAAGATGGAGGGGAAGATACCATCACTTGTCACCTTCTTGGGATTTGAGGGCCAGCAGGCTGGGGAAACCTGGGGTTCAGTCAGTCCAATGCATCTACCCACTGAAGCCAACTATGTGCCAGGCTCAGCTCTGGTGATGCTGGGGCCCCAGAGGGAGTGCTACTGTGGCTGTGTCCCCAGAAGATTCCCAGTCCAGTGGTGGGCACAGACAGTTCCAGCCCCAATGGTTGCATCTTGGGGACAGAGAGGTGCAGGGGCTGAGGGAGTCCAAGGGGGGGAGTGATGATTCGTCCCTGGTGATGAGGGAGTTCCTCAGAAAGGAGCAGATGTAGACCTTTACACATTTTAAGATTGGTAAGAACTTACTAGTAGAGGAAGAAAAGAACATTTCAGGGAATTCTAGAAACGCTGCTTTATGGGACAGTATGTGCAAGGCCTGGAGCAGGGCAAATAGGGGATGTGGAACCATTTTCATTCAGTCCATATTCCTAGGATATCCTGGGACTTAGAGTGAGTCATGTCCAGGTCCAGCCCTCGATGGGCTCCTGGTCCAGTGGACATAGGAACCGTGTGTGCAAGATCACGACTGGAATGGGAGACGAGGCCTGAATCTACCCCACAGACTTTTTAACTTTGGCCCAACATACATTTAAAATTTTTGAATTAATTGCCTACTGTCACAAATCAGTTTGCTTTAAAACAAAAGCAAAACAAAAAAAGCCTAACATTTCTGGCTTCTCTAAAACAAAAAACAAAAGAGAGAGAGAGAGAGAAAGAAGGAAAAGAATCTGGCAGCGGACCTACTATCCCTTCCGGCAACAACTGGCTCAAGCCAAGTAGCAGAGGCTGCCTTTTCATGGGTCCCACACTCTCCACTGAAAGTGTTCTGTGCACTTATGTTTTCTGCTTGGCCCCTTGGCTTAGGAAGTTTTTTTAAATGATATTTTGAGGAGCAGCACTTTTTTTTTTTTTTT